TTGTTGGGGGTGGTGCAATCGCTTTATCTTTGGTATTCGGTGGGGCCGGTGGTGTTGAGCGGGGCGCTTTTTTTGCTGCGATCGGCGACGGCGGCGCAGGGAAAGGCGCGGACGGCGTTTTTTAATCAGCGGCAAAACTACGCGGCGGGCTCGCCGATGCTTCAGGGGATCGCTCAGGAGGAAAGACGGGCGGAGACCGTTCAGCTCGCCTCCGCCGCGCTTTTGAGGTTGTACGAGCTTCAAAACAACCCCTCCGCCATCACGTACGGGGGCGGTGGGGATAAGAATGAAAATACAAACGGTGGACCTCTCGCGGAGGCACCAAGGGCCGCGCTTGACAAACCGACCTCCGCGACGTTACCCACCATTGACGAGGGGGGGGACGATTCCCTCTCTTCATGAGGAATGATGTGAAATTGGATCCTATTTTTTTTTCCAGGACCTTACTCTTAGTGTTACTATTATTTTCAAAAATGTGATTGCTTTCAATGATAATGGAAACATTCTATTCGGTCTATTGGTTCTCCATGGGGATAGTTTTTCTCTTTATTCGAGATGGTCGTGGTACTCCTTTCCTCAATTTTCTTGCGGGTAGTACATGGATACATGGGGTAATTCGAAGAAATAGAGATTGAATACAAATCACTTTCTTCATTATTATTATAATATTAGATAATATATATATATATTATTTAGGAAGTCATGAATCACTTTTCATCCGTGGGGGGGGCGGGGTATAGTGCGCCGATCTACGCCAAGGCACTCTCTCAGTTTGCGGTTTGCCGTCAGCCCTGGACTGAGTACATTAACCTGCTCACCAAAGAGGACACCAAGCCCTATCATACGGAGCCGCCTGAGCGGCCGGCCTATCGTGGACGAAAGCGCGGCCGTGAGGGCTGGCTTTTCGGGCAGCAGGTTCCTTTACATTATCACAGCTATCCAGACGAGCAGCTTTTTGCTAATCTCACGCGCTGGCGGATGGGGGATACGGTCGGCGATATCGCTCTCCAACAGTTCCGCAATGCACAGCCTTTCGATATCGAGGATAAGGACCCGCAAGGGTTTCAGCGCCCCTCCCCAGAGGTTTATATGAAGCTTAACTATAAAAACCCCGCAACGATCTCGAGGTTTTTGACGCGCACCGGGCATTTATACCCGCAGGATATTCTCCCTCTGAACCCTGAGGCCGTCGTCAAGCTTCGGGTGGCGAAAATGCAGGCGATTCGAATCGGCCTTTATCCACGTTTTGGTAATCCGTTTTGGTTCCGCTCGCAGCGCTTTCGCCCGAAGGCCTACCAGGAGAACTACGACCCCACGACGTACTCCACCAAGCATACCGTGGAGCATTTCGCGTATAATTGGGTTCAGATGGATCGCATTCGGCAGTATTTTAAAGAATTGGAGGAGCTTCATAAACGGAAGCGGGACGCCACGGGGTCGGGCACTGGCACCACAGCCGAAAACAAACAGCAAAATCAGCATTATGCACCGGATAATGAGTCGATTAACCCTTATCGCGATAACCCACCCTACACGGCGAATGTCGCGCACTCCATGAAGAATCCGACGGTCCCTGGGCTGATGTCGACGAGGGGGATGAAAAAGAAGTTTCATAACTTATACTCATCGACATCGACAAAGCGGATGGGCTTTTCGAACCCAACACTGGGTATCAAGAAGGTCTAAGGGAACTGGAAGGAAAGGGTTTCGTTTTTTATTTTCACTTTTCTTTATAAACATTTTTGTTGTTCTTGTGGAAGTTTTCTCCCTCCTCCTTGTGAGGATTGTAGGTAGGAACTACACTGTTGACACACAAAAAGGTAGAACGACGTGTTAATCTCACGCCTCACTTGTTGATGCCCATACCTTTTACACCTTCTAAGTAAAGATGTCTACCGTTTCTTTTTTCTCTCTCAAATATGAAGCTTATGAATGCTACCCGAGAGTTTGAAAGAGAGAAAGCGAGCACACTAAGGAAAAAAGAAATACACAATTATTTCAGCGGTTTAACTCTTTAAGAATCTATTTCACCCTTCCTTTTTATTTTTTTTCACACTTCCATTTCTCACCCAAGCGACCAAATTATCAGGCTTTCCCTTCTAAAACATATCATTTCAAGACTAACTCACCATCCATCTTTTCCTTGTTGCTTAACCATCTCTCTCCAATTCCACCCTTTTTAGTAGTAATAATATTCTCTGGGGAGGTGATTGTTCCTGTCACTGTTCCTGTTCTGTGCCTTGCCTGTTACAGTTAGTGCTCCTGTTCCTGTGCTTGTTTTTCCTTCTTTTGGGCTTCCCTTCATGCCTCAGATCCGTGAGGTGGAGCTGGGGGGTCTCGCTGTGACGCTGAGGTCCGCGGAATGGGCTTCGTTCGACCTCCACTTCGTCGGGGACGTTGGGGCCACCCACGCACGACTGGGCTTTGCCAAACTCCTTGCAAAGAAGGAGGGGAGGAATCCCCCTTCCCCTGGGCTGTTGCAGTCATCCGGTCTTGATTTATGTGAGACGCACGTGGAGCTCCTCTACGTCCGATTTCCCCTTCGCAAGGGGTCAATTCAACAGCTTGGGGAGTTTTTTTGCGCGATGGCCGACGCGGTGGGGCCGCATGGGAGGGTGGTGGGGGGAGTCGTGAGCGTCCCCGGGCCCGTCCGCGATGGGGTGGTGGGGCCTTTCAACCACCTTCACGGTAACCTCGCGATGGAGGAGCTTCCCTCGGAGCTTTTTCCACCAGGATGCGTTGCGATGCTGAACGACGTCCAGGCTGGTGCCTATGGCGTCATCGCCCTGATGGGTGCTCCTTGTGGCCGACCGGTCTTCGCCCCGATCTGGGGGAAGGGTCCTGAGGAGAAGTTTGAGAATTTCATGAAGTTCGAGGAAAACTCTGCGAATTTAAAAAATTGCAAGGCCACACCC